GTCCCATAGTGTTTGTTTAAGGTTTAAAGTATTGGTTGAGGTGTATTGATACTTTTAACCCTATATTTTTTTAGTTTTTTTTATTTCATTTTATACATATTTTTAATTCTTTAATAAAAAAAGAATTGGTTTCCTGAAAATACCATTAAATAGATGTATTGAAAACCCAACGATACAATATGATACACTTAATACAGGGCGTATCATATTGATACTTTGAAACTTGCCTTGGGTCCTTGGTTTTGGAATTACAAAAACATGTAACTCTTGCAAGTGTTGTGGTTAGGTTATAGGAGAGTGGTCACCTTGAAAGATGAAGGAAGACCCGAGGTAGGAAGTAGGGTTGAAGGCTAGGGTAAATGGTAAGGTGATAAGGCCGAATGAGTAATGGAATGATCGAATTATCCTTTCGTTATGGGATGGACCCTCATTTATAAGGAGGGATCCTGAAGTCCCGAAAGGAAGGAGCCAAAAGTGTTTGATTCCTACCAGGAAAGGGAATATTGAGTTTGTTGTTGGTCATTAAAGAGCACTGCTAAGGTTTCGCCACGCGTCCTATGAGATCTCTTAAGGATGAACTTTCCTTTCATCTGAGGATTCTCATAACTCGCATGTGCTACTTTCTTTCGTGACCCATTTAACCGACATGGCACTAGTGACATCATCGTTTAGCAGGCACACTTTTATTAAACCTACGTGGCGCCTTATCATGCGTGTAACTTAAAGTTGCACGTGTAGTCAATATTTGTTTCCGGTTCACAGTGATTCCATGGTTTTGTAATGTTCTTGAGTTCATCACAAAACCGCGCGTATCCGAAGTTCATCGCGGAACTGCACGTATCCGAAGTTCATTGCAGAACTGCGTGCGCCCGAGGTTTATTGCAGAACCGTGCACGTCTAAAGTTCATCGCAGGTTCACATTATCCAAAGTTTATCCTGACTTGTGTCGAGTATGAGTTTGTCGTGAACGTGCCATGAATCGTATACTCATCGTAGACATTCGATGAGTTATAAGCTCATCACAGGTAACCGATGTTCCCCCATTTCTCAAACAAAGCAAGATAAAGGTGGGTATTTGAAGTGGCAAATAAACGGCAATTTGCACTCAATCTGAAACTAGATGTTCCCCCATTCATTTTTGAATGTTCATAGCTCATTTTTCTGGACTTGTCAAACAATCAAATTACAGGTGTGATCCCTGTTCAACTTATGACCAGTCCTAAGAATCTTAAGTTCTTGAACCTCACCAAAAGTCATTTTGAAGGATCAATTCCCATGAAAATCAAGAAGCTAGATAAACTTCAACAGCTAAGGCTAGGAAAAAAAATAAACTGAATGGTACAATTCCAACAGATATTAGCCTTTTGTCCAACATAAAAAATCTTGAACTGCAAGAAAATCATTTTCATTGGCCTATACCATCTTCTACAGGAAAGTTTACCATGGTTTAGGAACTAAATCTACAGAAAGCAAGCTTGAATTCCAATATCCCAGTTGGCTTTTGCACCAACTTTACTTCCCTTTAGCTATCAGAAAATAACCTTGCAGGGCCTTGCCCCTTCAGTGGCACCCCTAAGCCAAATTCTTCTAATTGGACAAAACTCATTCCTTGCTAGTTGATACCAACAACTTGACTAGAATAATCCATCCTGAAATTGGGTATCTACATAAGCTTAAAGCTTGGGTACTTCTACCTATTCAGTTACCAGTAGTTATCAGGTTCCATACCTCAGTAGATTGGAAACTTGAGATTGTGTGAAGTTAAAATACATGCAAGAACTTGATACGAAAATCAACTAACAAGAGAAATTCCTGTGTATCTTGTCCATTCAACTTCACTTGTATACATGGTAAACATGAGCAACAATCTGCTTTCAGGCTAGATACCAGTAGAGATTGGAAGGTTGGCGTATCTAAAAATTCTGGGTTTATCACAAAAATTCAAGTGATCCAATGCCAGGAGATCTTGGGGATTGTCGAGAACTAATATTCTTGAAACTCAATGGAAACAAATTAACTGGGGAGATCCCATACAGGATTGGGAATCAAGTGTTTTTAAAGACTAGACTTGATCTCTGTCAAAATGTTCTCACAGGAAGTATACCACCACAGCTTGGGATTCTAAGCTCACTAGAGTATTTGAATCTTTCTATTTTCTAACAAGGTCTTAGATTTGATAACTTCTGCTCTGCATGGTTTTGTAGGCCTTCAAGTTGTTGTAATCATAGCAACACTAAATGAAATCAATTGAAAGATAAAGAAACCAATGGAATGAAGTCAATGCTTTTTCACAGCAAGATAATAGAAAATGATACAAACAGAATACTAGTTTGAAAAAGCATTACATAGACATGCAAATTAATTTTTTTAATTAATAAGGACATGAAAGAAATAAGCGTTTCTGAAAAAGGAGGAAACAAAAACCTCCTCTTCCTGATTGGTAGACAAGAAACAGTGGAATAAAAACAGTAGGAAATACAGGCAATAGAACCAAAATGAGAAACTGTTATGTGCCCTAGGAGAACTCACCCCTAAAAGCTAGCTGTTAGAAAGAGGGAGCCCAAACACATATATACCTCACAACAGCATCCCATACTACCGATGTGGGATACCTCACATTAGCATCCCATACTACCAACATGGGACAAATGGATCGTAAAAGAAACAGAGGAATAAAAACAACGAAGAAGAAGAAGAAGAAGATGATGATGATGATGATGATGATGATGATGATGATTGAAACCCTACAAAATTGAGAAAATGATGAGCGTTTGCATTTGCAACCACGAAATAGAAAAATGAGCAAAAAAAATGGATTTGAGACATACCTGGAGCAGATCTTCAAAGATGCGTTGTTCTTCTTCCTCGGTGGAAAAAAACACGGATATTTTAGGGTTAGGTTTAAAACAGGACATAATGTGTCATTTCCAAAACAATGTTGGGGTATTTTTGTCTTCGGCCACATCTAAAACACATCTAAGCACGTTAAGGGCCAGACCAACCTCTTTGGCTTTTAGATCTGAAAAAACATTTCAGATCGCCCATTTCAGATTCAATACAAACGAGACTGGCATATGAAAAGTAAATCTTTCATACTTCATATCTCTAAAATGAATTATCAAACACGCCCTAAATTGAATGATTGAAATGCTTCTAATTTGTCTCGGGCAGAAAAAAAATATTTTATTGAAATCTACTCTTTAATCAATCACTAATCTTGTTTGATAAAATTTAGAGGAAATTTTGGGAAATCAAATAGAGGTTTTGCCTGGCCCAATTGGGATTTAATTTATTCTCCTAAATCTTATGGGGTCTAGGTGTTGGGAAAGCTTCTAATTTATTCTCCTTTTTTGGAACGTTTTGATATATTAATACTTTCTTATAATATATAAGTTATTTTAGTCATAAAAAACTAGTTAATTTGAAATGGTGCAATGTACAATGTTTTGCATATATTGTATTTGCACTCTTCTCAAACTCGATTCAAAGAAAAATCATTTTTTTTTAAAATTTGCCCAATACTCGACTTGGGGTTTAAGGATCGGTGGAGTAATGCGAACTGCGAAGGCGCCATGGCGCCTTGGATGGGGTCCACAAGAAGTCTTTGAGCATGTTTCGTCGTGGGCCTCGTGGCCAATCGTGTGCATTGCGCGTTGGCCGTTTTGCACGCTGCCCGTGTTTCCACTTTCCACACGAGGATCGTCCATAAGTTTGAATATTTGAATATAGAGATGGAACTATACATGGGTTGGAGAAGACAACCAAAAAACCATTGAACTCGAACCTTCACATTTGAATAAAAAGAACATTCCAATCTCATGGTCCACTGGGATTCGTTGTAGGGGTGTCGGTGGGTTGTGTCTAATTTAGGTCCGAACCCAACCTATAGTTGCTCCATCTATTGAAAAGGGAAAATCTATGATGCTGAAAATAAGAAGAGTTAAAAAACCTATATTTGCTCCGGTTTATTATGTTTAACTCCATAACCTACAAAATTTGATCTTAATTATTGATACACTCTTAACGGCTAATTCTCTTGTTCTCTCTCCAAAATTATAAATGATCAAGAATTAAAGTATATAATATATCTTATATATGAATATAGATGCCAATATGTTAATACATGCATATAGATGAAAGATATAGAAACATTTTGATATGTTAGAGAAATGCATATAAATTATATAAATATATTAATAATACTAAATTTAAAGATTAATTATCCACAAATATGGTATAAATGCAGTAAAAATGCATATTGCAACCGAATTCTATAATGTTTACACATTATACAAAAGTTACTACTCTATTTCAATTTTTATTAAAAATTAAAAAAAAATATTCATTTAATAGTTTTATATAAACAATGCCTCCATTTTTTAAATAATAAATATTTTCATTTTTAACATATAATTTATATGTAAAATAAAACATATAAATCATTTAAGGTAAATAAAATAAATTATTTTTATAATTTTCAGTTTTTAGTAATTTTTTTTTAAAATTATATCTTAAACTATTTATTTCAATTTTATAATTATAATTTATTTCATTTTTTATAATTATAAATTTTAATTTATTTTATAATTTAAAAACAACTACTTTTTTTTTCTCAAACTAGGCACCGGTATGATTCCGTATGCATCGGTGCATATCGAAACATATCCACCGATACAACGTGATAGAGTTGAATCATACCGAACCATACCCAATCATAGTGTATCCAGAATCTATAGCAATGGATACAGATACGGATACGGTACATTCCATATCCGGGACTATCGTATACGAGATCATTACAAATAAACCCATAAACAAATACGTATTAAAAACTGATTACTACTATATATATTTGCATAACCAGTTTGTTTAAGGTCAAAACATGGAGTAACAGTACTAGGCATCAAAATTATGATAGGGTTGAATCAGTTCGGGTGTGTCGGGTCGGTTCAAACCATCGGCAGCCCTTGTGTGGGCTGTAGACTAGTAATAGTGATACGACGACATTCCTTTGTCTCTGTGTGGGCTGTAGACTAGTAGTAGTGATCGATGTGATCTCTGCATTTCCTCCACCTTCTTCCCTCGCCATGGCGATGCCACAGCACCAAGTTCAACAACAGCCGAAACCTTTGAGGTAGAAGAATTGCTACAGATGAATTCAATATCCTTAGGAACCATGAGAGCAATTATGCATATTTCCATTTCTTTTATTCAATCTTCAATCATCGTTTGTTATTTATTTATTTTTCCTAATTCCCAATTTGTGCTGGTTTATTTGTTGTCTTCTTTCTTCATTCAGAGATTTATTGCCCATAGATGGTCAGATGCCAGCACCGATTGCCTTCTTCAACGCTACAAGTTTCGCTGATCAATCTCATCCCCAATATATCCCTCCATGTAATCACTCTCTCGAGTATTTTCCTTGATTTCCATTTTTTATCTGTAATAAAATATATCCTCTTTTTGTTGTTGTTACTTGCTCTCACTCTTTCTCTTAATGGCAGTTCATGTAGCCGGATTCGCTCCTGGTCCGACTCCTGCAGCGGGTTGTGGCGGCGGCGGAGTTGGTGGTGGTGGTTGTGATTTGCGATGGAGTGGTGGTTCGGAAGCGAAGATGAAAAGGATGAAAGAGCAGGATTTCTTGGAGAACAACTCCCAGATATCTTCGGTGGACTTTTTGCAGACACGATCGGTTTCGACGGGGTTGGGATTATCTCTGGATGATAGGCGTATAACCTCCTCGGGTGACTCACCTCTTTTCTCGCTCTTAGATGACGATATCGATCGGGAACTGCAGAGACAGGAGGCGGAGATGGATCGATTCGTCAAAGTTCAGGTCTGCCTTTATTTTCCACTGTTTATAATTTTTCAGTTTTTTGAGTATCAACTATCATGTTGAAAATTGAATCTTGTGAAAGAGGAAAACTATGACTGGTGCAGGATTATGCAATGTTGAGTTTTTTTTTTCTCCTATAATTACGTTGGGAAAAGGATACTCTTTTTTTTCTTTGATTTATTCTGAGGACATTGGGAATGCTGCCGTGAAACCTATAGATTTTTGTCTGATATCTGATTAGTTTCAAATCACCTTGAATTTTTTCAGGCCTGCCTGAGATATTAAAGGTATCACATGTATGAATTTTTCAATAATCTAGGGAATTAAACCTTGTTCCCCAGTCTAACCCCATCGAAAATAAAGAAAGAAAAAGTTGTATTTGTTCAAGGTTGGAATTCCATTTTTCTTGGGTTGCTGGGAGTTTAGTTCAGGGATATACACATAGCCTTGATCACGGAGAAAAAAGGCATGCTACTTTTTTGTTTGTTTTCCTTTATTTTGGATCTTTTTTCCTTTTAACTGTTTTAAAACTGACAGGGCGAGCGGATGAGGCAAGCAATCTTAGAGAAGGTCCAGGTGAATCAACTCCAAACTTTCTCAATTGCAGAAGAAAGGATCCTCCAGAAGCTCCGTGAGAAAGAAGCAGAGGTTGAAGATATAAATAAGAAAAATACAGAGCTTGAGGAGCGAATGAAACAGTTAAACATGGAAGCAGGTGCTTGGCATCACCGAGCAAAATGCAATGAGAACATGATCACTACCCTCAAATTCAATCTCCAACAAGTCTTTGCTCAGAGCAGGGACAGCAAGGAAGGATGTGGTGACAGTGAGGTAGATGACACTGCCTCTTGCCGCAATGGTGGATCTGTTGATTTCCAACTAGTTGGTAAAGAGAACAAAGATCTGAAGGAGCTGATGACTTGTAAAGTTTGCAGAGTGAATGAAGTGTGCATGCTTTTGTTGCCTTGCAGGCATTTGTGCCTGTGTAAAGAATGTGAGAGTAAGCTTAGCTTCTGTCCACTATGTCAGTCCTCAAAATTTATTGGAATGGAGGTCTATATGTAATGGGAATGCTTTCATATGATATCAAAGTTATACATGTGTCAATGTTATTGATCTTGTGTATCCTGATGATCTTTAGTGTTTGATGTTATCTTTCTCCTTTGCATCCTCATTTTATTTAGAAGACAGCTTGTTACTAAGGAGTCGAGCATGATTTGATGAAAGACTTCCAACTAATATGTGGAACTTATATTCTTCTAGTACCTTCTATCATGGCATTTTCGTACATCCAAACTCAATCTATGGATAATATGGTGCTAAGTGGAAGCTTAGGTCGCCCCTTTTATTAGATTATATACTCATAAATAAAAGAGAGTACAAAGACAAGTATGCCCTTAGTAGGTCGGCTACTTGTGAGAACTTAAAAACACTCTTAACTTAAAAGTTAAAACATAAACTAATGGGCCTAAGGTCCAATAACTCCCTAACTATGCTATTTAAATAAAAACATGTTACATCAGCCCAAAACTCAACATTCCCCCTCAAGTTGGGAATAAATGTCACACATTCCCAACTTGCGTAGATCATGCTCCGGTTTGTTTCTTGCAACTCCTTTTATAAGAACATCAACAAACTGAGATGTAACATATGGCAAGCAAACTTCTCAGGATGTCACTCTTTCCCTTATAAAGTGTCTATCCACTTCTATATGCTTTGTCTTATGTTGAACTGGGTTGTGGGCAATGTTAATTGCTGCATGATTGTCACAATATAGCATCATAGGTTCTTTGGCCTCAACTCCAATCTCCCCTAATAAGGAATGGATCCAGAGGAGCTTTGAAACACCATGTGCTATGGCTCTGTATTCAACTTCGGCACTTGACCTTGCCACAACTGTATGTTTCTTACTCTTCCATGAAACTAAATTACCTAAAACAAGAGTACAAACTCCTGAAGTAGATCTCCTGTCATCTACGCACTCTGCCCAATCAACATCTATGTAAGCCTCTAACCTCAACTGTCCATGGTCAGTAAACAGTATGCCTCTATCTGGGTGTCCCTTTAAATAGGAAAGTATCCTATCGATAGTTTCCCAATGCTGAACTTGTGGGGCATCCATGTATTGATTCACCACACTCACTACATAAGAGATGTCTGGTCGTGTCATACATAAGTATAGCAACTGCCCCACTAACCTTTGATATCTTCCAACATCCTTTAATAGTTCACTCTCTGAAGCATTTATCCTGTGGTTTTGATCAATAGGTGTATCAACTGCCTTTGCCCTAAGCTTTCCTGTCTCCTATGGTAGATCTAGAAGATACTTTCTCTATGAGATGAAGATCCCATGCTTGGACCTCGTCACTTCAATGCCCAGAAAGTACTTCAGCTATCCAAGATCCTTAATCTCAAACTCTTTGTGCATATTCTTCTTCAGGGTATCAATCTCACTCAAATCATTTCTTGTAACTACAATGTCATCCACATACACTATCAAAACTGACACCAGTGACCCCCTCCTCTTCAAAAAAAGAGTATGATCAGATTGAATTTTGAGTATAGCCAAATACAACCAATGCACTTTTAAGCCTGTCAAACCAAGCTCTAGGTGATTGCTTTAAACCATATAGGGACTTCTTCAACCTGCATACCTTTCCTTTTCCCACATTATTGTAGAATCTAGCTGGAAGGTTCATATACACTTCCTCCTGTAAGTCCCCATTGAGAAAGACATTCTTCACGTCAAGTTAGAAGAGTGGACAAGAGTATGTAACTGCTAGTGATAGAAGAATCCGAACTGAATTCATCTTTGCCAGTGGTGCAAAAGTTTCTAAGTAATCTATGCCATAAGTCTAATATACCCTTTTGCAACTAGCCTTGTCTTGTACCTTTCTATACTCTCATCAGCCTTGTATTTCACTATATAAACCCACCTGCATCCAATAGTCTCCTTGCCATCAGGCAAATCCATAATCTCCCATGTTTGATTTTTAATCAATGCTTTCGTTTCTTCCTCCCTTGACTCTGTATACACACAGAGTCAAGGGAAGAAAGGAAGGCCCGGTAGGAAGGGGATAATCCACTATAGGAAAGATAGTGTGAGATGGAATTTCTGAGGGCAATAGGGAGATCAAGGTCATCAACAATGGCGTTAAGAGCAAGAGTAGTAGTATCAATAGGAACTAAACCATCAGGGAGAACAAGAGGCATACCTAGGTTTGTGTCAGTCAAACATGGAATTTCCCATGAGCCAATAGGGAGTACGTGGGTTCCTTTACTGTGGAATCAACCTCCTCTGATATTCATCAAAAAAAAAATCAACCTCTTCTGTTGTCGTAGGCACTGTCATGTAAAACACTGAGAGACAGGACAATGGAGGTGGCAAAGTGGGTGAGATAGGTAGGTCAAACACTAGAGTAGAGAAAGGAGCTGGAACAGGAAGTGGTATAGATTGCTCACTTCCTTTCCAAAACACTCCCCCTGAGAAGAACCCCTAAGAAAAAGGTGTGGATTCAAAAAAGGTGATATCCATAGTAACATACCAACTCCCGGAAACTGGATCATAACAACAATACCCCTCTGATTTCCTGCATACCCAAGGAAAACACTTCTTCGCCTTAGGATCAGCTTTGAGCGGTGAGGACCAAGAACATGGACAAAGAATACACATCCAAACACCCCTAGAGGAATATGGAATGTCTCCTCCTTAGGAAAAAGAAGGCTGAATGGAGTGCTATATCCAAGAACACGAGAAGGCACTCGATTAATCAAGAACACTACTGTAAGAATTGCATCACCCAAAAAATGAACTAGAATTGTAAAATTCAACATCATGCTTCTTGCTACTTCCACAATATGTTTGTTCTTCCTTTTTGCTACACCATTCTGTTGTGGAGTGTATGTATAACTGCTCTGATGGATAACTCTATGCTCTAATAGGTATGAAGACAGGTTTTTTTCAAAGTATTCTCTAGCATTGTCTGATCTAAACACCTTCACTTATACTCCAAACTGTATCAGCACCATCTGATGGAATTGTTGAACCAAAGACGATACCTCATCACGGGATCTCATCAAATATATCCAAGAGTACTGAGAATAATCATCCACATATAGAAGAAAATACTGATAGCCACCCATAGAGGAAACATGGTATGTCCCCCACACATCAGTATGAACAATATCAAAAATAGAAGAACATCTTTTATTACTTGCTTTAAAGGAATGTCTACAATGCTTTCCAAGTTGACAACCCTCACACTCCAAACTGGACAAACTGACAGACAAACAATTCGGGAAACAAAAAAACGCAAAGAAGCAATAGACAAATGTCCTAACCAATTATGCCAAAGCATAATCTGACTCAATATTCTTGCTGACATGATGACTCCGATGACTAGGAAGCGCATCAAGAAGATAAATTCCATTCACCTCACAACCACTCCCAATCGTCCCCTTTGATTCCAGATCCTTCAAAACACAATGGCCAGGGGAAAAAAATCACAAAACAATTCAAATTCTTTGTCAAGCTACTTGTGTGTGCAAATGAGGTAGAATGACTACCTCCTAATCCACCTGCACCATGTTGTCCACCTGATAATGAGTTGGAATTGGCTGTATCCTTTTGATTCAGGAGCTGCCCATATCTCTCCAATTCGGCCCTCACTACAGCTATTGCAACAAACTCTAGAGAGGCTGTAGTAGGTGGCCTTAGTAAATCATCAGTCACTGCCATATTCACATTTCCCTTCTTATTTCTGAGCCGACTCGGTACAAGATGTGGGTAAAGCTTCTAGTAGGTATCTCTAGTATGTTTGGGTTTCTTGCAATAGTCACAGATCAGGTCCCTTTTGTCCTCCTTCCTCAGTTCATTTTCCACCCTTGTCCCCACTCGGCTTAGGCTTCACTGTGCTAACCATAATTGATTGTTCAAGGCTTGGGTTTCTCATCATCCCATTTCTCCTACTCTCCTCTCCATACACAAAGGCATATGCCTGAGAGAGAGTTACACTGTCTTGGGAAAGAATATGTTGTGCAATATCATACTCAGGGTTAAGTCCAGCTAAAAACTCAAAAACCCTATTCTTTTCTACCAACTTCTGATAAGTTGTTGCATCTTTGCCACTTTCCCAAACCATAGTCTCCAAATGATCTATCTCCTACCATAAGGTTTTGAGGGCTGAAAAATAAATAGCAACAGACTTATCTCCCTACCTAGTAGCAATCACCTGGTTTCTCAACTAATAGGCTCTAGCAACATTTTCATTCTATGAATAGGTTTCTACTACTCCATCCCAAATCTCCTTAGCTATGTTAGCTCATAAAAAGTTCTTACTTATATGGGGCAACATGGAATTACACAACCAAGTCATCACCATGTAGTTCTCCTATACCCATTGGGAATGGTTAGTTTCAAGTTTCTTTTCCTCACCGGTGACATACCCCAATTTTCCACGAGCACCAATGGCCATCTTTGCAGATTGTGACTATTCTAAGTAGTTTGTACCATCCAACTTGACTTTAGTGATGATTCCGGCCCCGAAGAGGTCTCCAGCACCTCTTCCCTCGGATCCCATTTCTCCTATAAATTTGTTTTCAACTCCACAACCCTCCATAACTCTCAGAATAGGTTAGGAAATCAAATTGAGTTGAAAAAAAAGGTATTTATCTCTTTTAGAAACCTCAAACATCCTCCTGGAACCCTAGAAACTCCTCCCTCCAAAAATTCATTTTTCTGTGGGAACAAGAGAAGAGAGAGAAGAGGTTGTTGCTCCCTCCAGAGACCTCCTAAAAGGTTGGGACTTGAACCGCCCCCTTCAGAAAACCTCAAGGAACCCTAGAAAACTAGAGTGCCACTTCCTAAGTCAAAATTGAAGAGTTCGACTAAAACAAGACTCTCCCCCCTTTCTCCAGTTCTTCCTGATTTTGGTGTAAAACCCTAGACCAACTACAAGGGACTGCAATTCCACCAAAAAATTAAAAAACTGGGCCTACCTGAAGCCTTTGATAAGCCCTTTACCTTATCATGCAATCGGCCGATCTAGGGCTGCATGATGGAGCAGCTCAAGAAACCTTTAAGCTTGCTCTGATACCTAGTAGAAAGGTTTGGACAACCTGTTTTGATATAAAATCTATAAAAGAAAGAGGAGAAAAAATTTTAGCCATGGTTTTCGAATTGTCGTTCACCTGGACGGTCGGACCGTTCGGCTCGGGAACCGTTCAGGCAACCAGTTCCA